TAATGTATTTGTGTGATGGAACCAGAAATTTAACCACCATGACTGTATATCTTCCTAGAAGCACAGACATAAAGCCAAAAGGTCCAATAATGTATTTTTATTTTAAAAAATTACATATACCCTTATATGACAGGAAAGGAAGGCAGGAAGGAAGGCAGGAAGGCAGGAAGGAAGGAAGGAAGGAAGGAAGGAAGGAAGAAAGATGGAAATTATGCACATATTATTAGTTATTTTGAATGCATCTTTAATTGTCAGCCCTTTAAGGTAGCTCAGATTAGGAAATCAAAATAATACATATTAAATCTACTTTTATTGTAAAGTTATAGTAATGAATCTTTATAGTCCGAATGCATCTTCCTTTATCTTCCTGAGAACTAGAAAGGATCCTACCTGAGATACTTTCTTGGCTTACTGTTTTGTCCTGGACTTCTTTTATCTGACTGTTGTCTTGGCAACAGCTCTTCCTCTTGTTCCTCAAGGTTACTCCTTTTGCCTATTATACTAGCTCAAAAAAAAATCTCAGACTAGCTTACCAATATTAAAACAGTGTTCCTTTGTAGTGCTTTGCTTGGAATCCACTCAACACTCAATTTAGTCACCTATCTTACAACCTGAACAGGAGCTGTAAAATATTATTTTCTTCTTTTTGGGTTCCAGAATAACTCAGTTTCGATTATTTTTTTCTCTCGGAAGATTTCCTTCTGGTTATAGATCTTCCTGAATCCATCTGGTGATCCTCTGTCAAGCCAAGCCCAGAAATGAGACAGAGATAAAATCCAGTTGAGTTCAGTCCTTTATTTACTGATATCTAATGGACAGAAACTTGCCAGACTAAAGCTATAGCCTTCTAACCTACTAGATATATCCTGCTGAGTCAGGAATTCTGGGAGTTGAAGTCCACAAGTCATAAAAGAGCCAAGGTTGCCTACCCCTGTTCTAGGACATGGCTACCTTAGAATTGCTTCCCAATCCAGCTCATAACTGTGCAGTCACTTAATCCAGGTACTTAATCCACCTTTCTTTTGAGTGCACAGTGCAAAAGACAGAAGAAGCTTGTCCATTTTTCAAGAAAACCCCTGACAGGAATTTTTTTTTTTTACAGTAGAAAACCCAATTCTTAACAAACCGGCACAAGTTTTAATTACAAGATAGAATTTTTGCTATCTCTTCTCTTTTCTCACCTTCTGTTTACATGTTTTAAGAGCGAGTTTGGTGCAATAGTTAACACAACAAACTAGAAACTGGGACTTCTAATCCTGCTTTAGACAGATAGCCAGCTGAATGGGCCAGTTATAATGATTAATACATAATGGGGAATCTGCAGGAATATCACTATGCTTTTTATAGAAAAGTTGGCTGTCTCAGGTTCCTTTCTCCTCTGAAACTTACCAGAAGTTTTTCTTTGATTGAATGAGATGGGAAAGTGAGCTGAAGTTTCATCAAATTTGAGAACTGCCTCATCTGATTCTTCCTATGGCATACCAATCCTAATGAAGCATACTTTTGTTAAGGAACACCCATGTTGTGAATGAAACTTTGGCAGCTACATGACGGTTATGGGAACAGACAATTCCCATAACAAAGTGAAATTATTTACATGGACTATGTGAGAGGGTGGGGGTTTGGCCAGAGAAATTATTGTTTAATTCTAGAAACTGGTGTCTGGGAACCTCAGAGTTAGTTTTGCTTTGACATTACCACGCCGTGTATTCAATAAACAGTAAGATTTTCGGAAATGGAATGAACCTGAAGTTTTATTTGGATTCTCGAGCTGGATGTTGACACTCCACCCCACACACATAAGATGTTATGAAATAGTAGATACAGTGTTTTCCCGAAAGTAAGGCCTACCCCAAAAATAAGCCCTAGCTTGATTTATGGGGGTGGGCATAATATAAGCGCTACCCCCAAAATAACCCCTAGTTTTGGGGTGAGGCACACACTTAAAAATCAAGCTAGGGCGGGGATAGGGTCCCACACCCACTTACCTGGCAGCCAGGTCCTTGCTGGCCCACTTCTTCTGTGAGGTCTTTTGCCTGATTGCAAAATGCAGGCAGGAATGCAGCTACAGAATGAAGCTGTTCCTTCGGCCCCAGAAGAAGTGGACCAGCTGGGTGGGGCTGTTGGTGCTGGAGGTGAGTATAAAAAACATAATATAATAAGACCTGGTGACTGTTTTGGAGGCAAAAAAAAAAAAAAAGACCTAGTCTTATTTTCGGGGAAACATGGTATGTCTATGTGTTTTGTTTGCATACATAAAGAAACCTAAACACACATACACTGGGTATAACACCTAAAGGTAAATGTTTCAATAACTAGAAAACTGATCAAATTTATCGATAATGGCTTTATATGTTTCTCTCTTTGAATGTTACATAATATGTTTTCTCAGGACAAAACACTATACAGGTAGCCCTCAACTTACAACCATTTGTTTAGTGACCATTCAAAGTTACAATAGCACTAAAAAACTTGTGACATACAACCATTTTTCACACAATCTTTACAGCATCCCATGCAGTGGTGGGATTCAAATATGTGAACAACCGATTCTCTATGTGGATGCCACTTCCGGAAGTCCATTCTGGGCCTGGGCCACAAAAAAATAAGCTACCAGTTCTGCCGAAGTGGTGCGAACCGGCTCAGTCCCACCACTGATCCCATGGCAACTGGCATGTATTTATGACAGTTGCAATGTCTTGGAGTCATGTGATCATCTTTTGTGATCTTCTGACAAACAAAATCAATGGGAGAGCCAGATTCACTTAATAGCTGTACTAGCTTAACAACTGTAGTGATTCATTTAACAACTGTGGTAAGAAAGATTGTAAAATGGGGCAAAATTCACTTAACATCTGTCTTGCTAAGCAATGGAAATTTTGGGCTCAATTGTGGTCGTAAATCAAGGACTACCTGTATATCTATTAAAGTGATTGCGATTATATGATTACTTAGGGTCACATTATTAGTCCTTAAGGTGCCATAATTCATAGTTGAGCAGCAGCAAGCTAACATGGTGACTCTTTTAGAATTTATTTCAGTGGACACCCTGTCTGATCATCACTGCTGCAGCATTTCTACGTGTTACATTAGCAAAATTAAAGATATATAGTGTGGGTGTTCCTAAATTCTATTTCTTTTTATCAAATCAGTTAAGCATAGCCTTTTGGAATTGAATACTTGGAAGAAAGAATGAGAAAAAGGGATTTTCCAACTCTTCATAGGGTGTTAGGAATGGTCCAGATGGAGGAAATTTAAAAAAACAGTAAATCCACTAGATGGCACAAGTGGACTGGCACACCGTTCACTGATCTGAAGACACATCTTATGGAAAACAGCAAACTATTGTACATCTGTGCTTTCTGAACGTAAATCTGTTGCTTTAATTCTTTTACATATTAAAATGCTCTACTGGGCATCATAATAACATCTGTTCACTATTCGTGCAGGAGTGGTTGAGTTCAAAGTTCAGATCATGAAGTGATAAATGAATGGCAGAATGTTTAAATTAGGTTTTTTTTATTCTGAATAGTTCTTCAAGTGATTTGTGATCTGCTCCAAAAGGATTTTCCTAAACATGCATGAGTACCCACAAAAAGGACAAATGAAGCAGCACAAAGAAAAGTAAAGTGATGCACATCGATTTGACAATTCTGTGCACATAGATGTATGTGCACAAAAACACACGTATTAGGGAAAAAAATATGCTGCAGCTCTGAAGCAGCAAACAGAACATATCAGAAAAATGGAATGAAAATAAACTTAATATTCTGATGTCCTTCTATAAATTTAAAATGTTCTTCATTGAAAAGAGTGTGCATAATTCTGTCATGGAGTTGAAAATGTATTGAAAACAGACCACCAAACATTTGAGAGCTCCTACTTTCAATACCATTATAAAAAAAAACCCTAACATTATGGCATCCGGTCCCATCACTTCCTGGCAGATAGAATGGAAAGAAATGGAAGCAGTGACAGATTTTATTTTCTTGGGCTCCAAAATCACTGCAGAAGGTGACTGCAACCATGAAACTAAAAGACACATGCTCCTTGGGAGGAAAGCTATGACAAACCTAGAAAGCATATTAAAAAGCAGAGACATCACCTTGCTGACAAAAGTCCATATAGTCAGAGCTGTGGTATGGCTGTAAGCAAGGCCGAACACCAAAGAATTGATGTTATCAAATTGTGATGTTGCAGAAGATGCTTGAGAGTTCCTTGCAGTCCAAGGAGATCAAATCAGTTAATCCTAAAGGGAATTAACCCTGACTGTCCTTTGGAAGGACAGATACTGAAGCTGAAGTACTTTAGCTACCAAATGAGAAGAGAGGGCTCATTTGAAAAAATCCTGATGTTGGGAAAGATGGAAGGCAAAAGGAGAAGGATGAGATAGTTAGATAGTGTCATCATTGCAATGAACATGAATCTGGGCAGATTCAGGGAGATGGTAGAGGACGGGGTAGGCTGGCATGCCATGGTCCATGGGATGACGAAGAGTCAGACATGACTTAGTGACTGAACAACAAAAACTCCTCTAATAAAAGGAATTTTTAAAAAATTGGGATGGATAGACATGATAGAGTTTTATACAACTATGTATGCATAAAAGCAGTAGGTACTATTTGATTGTAATGTGGTACTCTACTCCCTTCCTGGGCATTCATCTCTCCTGATTTAAAAATCCTCATTATATCATGATGTCTTGCCCTGAAAAATATGTGAAACCTAATCAAAGCCTCCTTCATTTGCTGTTCCAGATCAACACACACACACACACACACAATGATGATGTTGATGATGATGGAGGAGGAGGTGGAGAAGCATGTCTTATGTACTTAGCCAAAGTAAGCTATGGTATAATGCAATGTGTAAGCACAGTTTTAAACTCTTTGGGAATAGAGGCAATGACTTTATGCTGACTGGATTTGCAAATCATGCCATTTGTTTAACTAATTCACAAACAAGAATAAAAAACAGATTTTTCCTGACCGAAACTTGTTAACATGACTGTTTATCTGAAGGGTGGGTTTCCTGCATTACATCTACTCAGAACCTTCAACCCAACTTTATTACGTAATATTTTTCTAAATGTAACTTCTGCATCTTGCATTTAATATGAAAAACATTTTCTAATATAACACTTTGTTTTTATTATTTTCTTGTCTTATTTTAAAAGCAAACGGTGTTTTCTGTAAAATGGCAAATCTATTTCAGAATGCATAGCATTACATTGGCAATCTTGCACATATTCCCCAGCCAATACATATCTCAGAAGTTAGTGTTGCTTATTAGATATCAAACATGCATACTGTGCACAAATCACAGCAGAAAATGCAAACATTCTTTATAAGCAGCTAAATGTCTTGTTAAAGCTTTATATGCATTGAATAAATACAGATGTTTAAAAAAATGATCACATTTTATAAGTAAACAGGAGCACGTAACAGTTTTGCAACCATCCTGAGGACAGCAAAAAGCTAATTTTCAATATTTCTTTACTGCCATCTAGTGATCCTCTGAATTTTTGCTTCCCAAAGGTATTATCTGTGATATATAACAATTCATAGCTGTATAACAGAATCATTTGTATACTATTTTCCTCTTACAGGAATTGTGTTTTAAGACAATTTCTAGCAATTAAGCCAACTGTTGCTCTTCATTACACCAATCACTCGTTTAGTCTTCGGATCAAATTCCCACTGCTTGGACCCATGGAAAAAATAGAAGAATCCTAAAAGGAAAGACACTGTATTATAGAAAAATGATAGAAACATGACATCGAAACAGTGCCATCTGTTAAAAAAAACATGAATGGCATGTGGCAGGCTTTGTAAATTTATAAACCAATAGAGGAGAATATTTGTAGCTCAGGATTGAATTGTTCAATTGAACTGCTAGCACTGATGATGTTACCTAGTGAGGGAATGAAATGTCTGCAAGAAAACAACCAAGTTCAAAGAACACCAAGGATCCCTCCCTCCAAATTTGTAAATGGTATAGAAAGTATAATAGACAAAGGATTAGTAGAGGCAGTCTCCGCTCTTTCAGCTGTGTTGTGATTGTAGAGATGATGCTAAGGCAGGGGTAGGCAACCTTGGCTCTTTTATGACTTGTGGACTTCAACTCCCAGAATTCCTGAGCTAGCATGGCTCCGCATGGAAACCTCTCCATTTCTCCTCAGCATGGCTGGCTCAGTAATTCTGGGAGTTGAAGTCCACGAGTTATAAAAGAGCCAAGGTTGCCTACTCCTGTGCTAAGGCAAGCTCAAAAGTGACAAATCTTTGCAAGTTTCATTCAAAAATATGAACTTTAATTCAAAGCCTTTTTATTTGTTTCTGGATAACATTTCTGCATTTCAGCTTTTAGTCCTTAATACTGACTACAGAAGACCACTCTATAAAGCATATCATTATGCCGTTTAGTAAAACTGTTTAAGTTTTGTTGTTAACCAATTTTTCTTTATAAAGGTAATTATAAGTGAATTGTCTTGTGATGCAGTATAGTACTTTTAAGTACCACTGCCATGGGAAAGTGACATACAAATAAATAATGATAGTAGAAAAGTTCCTATGTCTGTGAGCAAGTCCATGATCCATATTTTAGATCTACATTACAAAATGCCTTTTTTCCTTACCATTGAGCTGGAAGGCAGCATCAATCTTCTCGTCAATTGCAGGAAAATCATCCCTTATATTCCTTGGATAATCCTCATCCATGGACTGAGTATTTTCATCATACCTGAAAAATACAATTTAAGGAACATATTAGATGCAAGATGTGCCTGGTGCGAATTCATCCCATGGTCCTAGTGTAAGATAGCACTTAGCACGTAGACATATATACTACTTCACTTCATAGTGCTTTATAGCATTCTCTGAATGGTTTACAGAGTCAGCATATTGCCCCCAACAATCTGGGTCCTCATTTTAACGACCTCAGAAGGATGGAAGGCTGAGTCAACCTTGAGCCGGTCAGGATCGAACTCCTGGCAGTGAGCAGAATTAGCCTGCAATACTATATTCTAACCACTATGCCACCACACAGATAGTGAGAATAGCTGTTGGTATAATATGTAATGTTGAGGAAGATGGAATAGGAGAATAGACTCAGATGGAGAACAATGCAATACATCACAAATGACTCACATTCTATTTGCTGACTATTTGGAAAGTAACAGAAAGTAATATATAAATATTTGTAAATGTAGGAAATATATTTACATAAATATTGATTTATATATTCATGAATATATTCATGAATATAATTCATATCCATATTCTGTTTTCCATATCAGTACATTTGGATGCAGTGTTTGTTAGTGCTTTTGTCTTATGTTTAGAGTGTGAACAGTTGCTTTAGAGATGAAATGTATTGTCACATATGAGTTCTAGAACAAGGATGCATAAACATTGTAACAGGGGTTGAAAGCTGAGGTATGCTAGCTTCATTTGAAAAAAAAAAGTAGACTATGACCAAAAAGTAATGCTAAAATAAAAAATTGAATTTGGTTTGATGTGAGATCATGCTAAATTTGTTTTGGTTTAAATATGAACAATTAAAGTTGAAAATAATTAAATGCCGTTAAAGAATTGTTTACAATGTACATAATATTAATATTTTTCTTTTGTCCTGTAAAAAAAATCTGAATTAAAAAAATAATTTTTGAAGATATCCCAGGACTGTACCAATGGACTGAAGGCTGTAGGCTGTAGGTTGTGCATTTCCTTTTTAGATAAACATATTAAAAGTTTGTGTGTGTGTGTGTGTGTGTGTGTGTGTGTGTATACTTATATATAAAGTTTGTAAAATATGTGTGTGTATACGTGGATACAGAGATAGGCACATGAAAATAGAATAATAGAGTTTGCTAACCTGAGCTTGGTGCAGTATTTGAAATTAAAGCATTCCCGAGAAGTCTGTCCTTTGTATGAGCCCAACAATTTGTGCGCAGCTCCATTTGCGCAAGCGGCAGGCACATGGGCCCACCACTCACACAAATGGAGCTACACATGCTCGCCCACCCACTGTGCACAATAGTGGAGCTACATGTGTGAGCGCCTCATCCACTGCTTCTGTGGCCCGGTCCTGAAAGAGCCGTAGCCCAGTGCTGGGCCACAGCCTCGGGGTTGGGGACCCCTGCTTTTTTTCTTTCCTTGCTCTTCTTTCTGAATGTACTGTGTATTTTCTTTTACTATTGGTATTAAAACTTTCAATAAAAATATTTTTAAAATGGTATTTAAGGATCACTTTAATATCCCCCTTCCATCTTTTTTTTCTAAGGCTCAGTGTGACCTTTATTACTTTTAAAAGGGGTTCTTTAAGAGAACTTACCTCCAGTAATGGTTACCAACAAAGAAATAGGTTTTTCTAGTATCTTTATCAAAAACAGCAGCATCGATTTTCTCAGTGTTTGTTGGGAATCCCAACTTGTCAATGGGCTGGGGATAGCCAGGCTGCATTTGAAGCCCACTAATCATCCAGAATTTATTACCTGTTGAAAGATATAGGAGGAAAGAAGGTCAAAGATTTTCAAATTTAATAATCTCCATTGTCTGTCTACCTGACTGTTCGTCTATCTATCTATCTATCTATCTATCTATCTATCTATCTATCTATCTATCTATCTATCTATCTGTCTGTCTGTCTGTCTGTCTGTCTGTCTGTCTGTCTGTCTGTCTGTCTGTCTGTCTGTCCGTCCGTCCGTCCGTCCGTCCGTCCGTCCGTCCGTCCGTCCGTCCGTCCGTCTGTCTATGTCTATTTATCTATATTTATCTAATAAATTTAAATGAATGATGGCTGCCCGTCTAAGTATATAGGGCTCTTTATTTCTCTTTAATTTTATTTATTCATTTATTCTATTAAAAACACTTATAGCTACCTATCTTTTAACCAACTCTGGGCAGCTCTCAGTCTTTTTCTTAAAACAAAACCCAATGTGAGTTGTATATAAGAGTCTTTCATCAAAAGCAAACATTCTTCTTCATTTACAGAATCCTTTCAATTTGCATGTCCCTGTCTTAAATCTCCCTTAGTTCCTACGTCCAGGCAAGCTATTAGCCAGCTCAGGAGAGCTATGTCAAATCATCATGCAGATTTTTGTTCCTTTGCCACAAATTAACTTGGCTATTAGCCTTGAAAATTCAGTGCCATCTCTGCTTTTGTCTAATCCCCTTTTTTTGCTTTCCTTTTTCTTATTTACATCTTGTTTCTTCTTCTCCAACAGCTCCAACATTACTGTCCTCAGAGACCTGCATGGTATGTTTGCAGAGAGCTTTTGAAATTAGTGCAGGAGCCATATGTATCACTCCAGGACTGCAGGTTTTTCATTCCTAAACTTCTAATTCAAATAATATAAGCCTTAATGTCTTACCTTTAAAGAAAAAAACCTGATCATTCATATTTTCATAAGCTGCCTGGATTCCAGATGGCAGCAGAGGCGACAAAGTAGAAATTGATTCCATGTCCACTTCAGAGCTAGTAGGATACACTCTCCAGATGTTCCTGCAATGAATATGAAGGTGCATTTCCTATTACTAAAAATAATTATTTTGTGAATTAAAACAGACAACGGGTCCTATTGTAAATCAATTTACTAATAAAGGGGAAAAGCCTAACATAGTCAGAAGGGTATAATTAGGGACAAAAGCTGAATATAAGAACATTTTTGGTGCAATGGCTTTTACTCAGAAGTAAGGCCCCTATTTTTTCCGGAGAGTCATCCTAGTAAGATTTCAGGCTTCAAGGACTAAGAAAATAAGAATCCTTTTTAGCTAGAAACCTATAGTTCTGTAATCTAATGGTTCAGCCATGTATTATTTGATGCAAATCCTACCTTGATTGGTTTCCTCTAAATTCTAATCCACGTGCAATTTGGAAGAAAATAATCCTGGTGTTATTCTAAGGTTTATAGTGAGTAAATAAATTATGAAGTATATATACTTACAGTTACGTTTTAATGGAACAAAGTTGCTAACTTTATGCACCGGAGTCAGAAAAGTATGATGAGGCAAAAAATCTATGGACATCCTCAGTCATCCAGGTCATGGCTGCTCCAAAGGTGCTTTTTCCAGAGATAATTGGACTTTCTTTGTTTTTCCTTGAAGATGTTTCACTTCTCATCCAAGCTTCTTCATTTCAGAACTGAAGAAGCTTCTTAGATGAGAAGTGAAATGTCTTCAAGGAAAAACCAAAAAGAAAAAGCACCTTTGGGACAACTATGATGAGGCAACAAATGAACACTAGGTGGGGGTCGAGAGTGGAAAAGATTTTATTTTTAATGTCAAGCTACTCAACATGCCACATATGCACTATGCAGCTGTTCTGTCTTTCTCCCTTTATAGTAAGCAAATCCTGTTTACCTTCCCTTAAAAAATATCACTTCTCTTCGGAAGGTAGTGATGGCATCAAAATTTAGCTTAGGATCACAAGCTTTTGGTACTGTTGGCTTCACTGGTTCATTGGAAGGATTTTGTGATGGTCCTAAAATAATCAGATGGAATATGATTAATCATAACACTTATTCTCTGAGTGGAAAGATTGTGGACAAATGGAGTGAATTATGCAATATATATAATTTTTATCTAATTATATCATTGCATCATTTCCAGAATGCTTTCATGACACACATAACGTCATCATGGGCTTGTTTTGGATGCTCACATTCAGACCAAATTATTGCTTGCAATTTCTCTGTATTGTCACAATAATTCAACAGGTTGATCTTGCCAGTGTACTAGCTGTGTTCTCATATTGAACTAAACCATGATATATATAATCATAGCTTGTTGAATACGCAATGATCACCTGAGTTCACACAAGATGCCAAGCCAAAGGCAAATTAACAGCATTGTGGTATGCCCAAACATAGTGTATCATATTGAATTTGCAGGGGATATTTGAAACTAATCATATTTCTGTTGCTTTTGCAAGCAATAAAGTAGGCAGGCCTGGCATGCTACAGAAGAGACTCTGGAGTGGTCCAAGAGATCCTGGAGCATTGCCTGCAACCTGAATCCATTACTTCAAGCATTTCTTCCAAATTTGTTGCTGTAGCCATATAAACGACCCTTAAATGACACAATGGAATTGTTGCAGTTGGTTCTCAGAAAACACTGGCATAGCAACTGTGACCTTGGCAACTATATACACCAACATAAAGGTTTTGTGTTTCAGAATTTGAAAGG